GATTCATAGATTGTTTGAGATTAAAGTTAATCAATGGTACATATTATTTTTTACACTTCTCACATTAACTTTCTTTTTTCCACGATCATTCGTGTATATATATATATATATATATATATATATATATAAATAGAGAGAGAGAGAGAGAGAGAGAGCTAGGTTATTTTGTTAACTCAATTTTTAATGTTAATTATCTTAACATAGTGGACCAATAGGATTCATTATTTATGATAGGTTTCAATAAGGTATTGATTATGAGACGAAAGACATAAGGGTAAATTATACATATACGTAAGTTACATTTTATATTAATTAATGAGTGATTACAATTTAATAGTTGCTTTATTGTTGGAATTGTGATCAATTATTCAAATTACACAATATAGTATCATTTAATAAAATCAATCTTGATGAAATTGTTAATCCGAGTGAATAAATCACAAGCAAACATTTAATAAATATGAATATTAATATACACAATGAGTAAATTGTTAATCCGAGTGAACAAATCACAAGTAAACATTTTTGAAGTGTATTGTTAATGTCGTTTCCAGTGATATGAACAGTATGGAGAAAAATATTACGAAATCATCGATGAACATATTTTCATAAGTGTACAATGTTCATTGTCTGTTAATATTTGAAAAGAAGGAATAGCCAAGTGAACATTCAAACATTAATGAACATAATCACATTGTTCATAAGTGAACTCATGTTCATATAGGAGGAAATGTCATGTGTATATTAACGTTCATAATGACGGAGAATTTTTATTAATGACAATGGATTAATGTTCATATGAACATTAATGGACAGTTACAACTTACAAACTTTATAATTTTTTTTTTCCAATAATACATTTTGTTCATGTATGTTCATCTTAGATGATAATGTCTTATAGTATTAATTATTACAAAATTGTCATCATAATTATCATCCATTTATTTACAAGATGAATGGTTATGATATATTTACAAAGTTAATATCATAAGTTGAGTTAACAAAAGAACCTACTCACACACACACACACACACACACATATATATATATATATATATATATACTAGAAGCGTACTCGCGCAATGTAGCGAGATACATCGTGATTTTAATATTTTATTTTATTCTTTATTTCAACTGATGTTATAGGCTTTATGTGATTTTGAGAAAGTGATGATGTTTTTATTTTTGAATAAAATATATGTTTGAAGATTTCATAAAAATTTGACAAAAAATATCGATATTAGTATCAAATTAACTATTTGATTCATTCTTTTGTGTAATTTTTTTATTCAATTTTTTTATAATTTAATTTATGTACAATAACGAAGTAATTTTTATT